TAGTCGAGGAAAGAAAAATGGAAAGGAATAGGCCTGTAAGTCGGCCGGGTAGGATCGGCCTTGGGCCTGAAATTGGGCCGAGCCACAATGTGTGGGCTGAGAAGGATTTGGGCCGCAATAATTCTTTAAGCCAACAAACCCGTAACCCTTCGGATTACCTCAGGTAGGCTCAGGGTGACCGGATTGGTCAAATTGGGCCGTGGGGTTCTGCAATTAAGCCCAATTCAATTCAAAACCCCAAGAAAACATTGTAGCTGGACTTTCTCGGACAATTCAATTCAAACCCCCAAGAAACCATTGTAGCTGGACTTGCTCGAAGAGAACAACCAATTCAGTTCAGACCCCCAAGAAACCATTCTCTGCATTCTTTGTTCCTCCTTCCACCATTTCCTCTGTTCAACTCAAAAATGGTTCTCTCGTTTCCGGTGGAGGATCCAACTTCTGCTCCATTCACGAGGCTTCCCTTAAGGGATCGATTCTTGGAGACGTTGTTGTGCTAGTCACTAACAAACGAGGTAATGCAAATGCCTTCTTTTTATGCTATAACGTCTAGTGATAATTAGTATTAGTATGTCATTGACTCCTTGTAATTGGGACTTGGAAGAAGTTACTGGTTTTCTTATTGTTGATTGAATGTTAAGCTTCTATTCTTGTAGGGGTAGTAATATAAATTTAGGACTGATTTCTTTCCTTGATAACTTGTCCATAGTAAACATTAGATTTAGGGTTTCCCTGTGCTGATAAATTCGGCCGGGTAGGGACAATATCGGGCTCTTTGAACCTATCCCGTGACCCTACCCGCATTTTGTGGGTCGGGCATTATTGTTACCGCAAAAAAAAAAATCCCACTATTTTCGGGTAGGTAGGGTCGGCTCGGACGGGTTCGTTGGGTTCGGCTTGAATTCTTACACCTCTAAAAAGGAAAACGATAGTTAATTGTTTTCAATTTTGCTGATTTTTGAGAATAAGTAAAAAATGTTTTTAAATTTTGTTTTTCAAAAAATGCGGTGCCAAATGCATTTATGGGAGCATTTTCATTTTTTTTGTTCTTGAAAAATGTGAAAAAAGTTTTTGGAAATGATTCTAAACATGCACTTTGTTTTTTTTTTTTTTTTTTTTCTATTTTATCCTTTTTTACACCAAATAACAAATGTCAGATTATAATCCTAAAATTTAAAAACCCTAATCTGCTCACTCGCCTCTCTCTCTCTCTCTCTTTCCTCTCTCAGCTGCCTACCTCCTTCCCAGCCTCTTCACCCTTCTCTATATCTCATTCTCTCATCTCTCAGAGCAACTCTCTCTCTTTCCTCTCTCATCCATCCACTCTCTCTCCTCTGTCTCTCGCTAAATCCTTTTCACGACCTAATCAGAACTTCACGTATTCCCGTTGAGGATTCATCGCTCGGTGGTTCTTCTCTCCCTCACGAACATCGTCGTGCTCTGAGAGAGAGACCGATCTCTGTCTTCTTCGGCGACGTCGACATTCTCGGCAGCATCATTCCTTTGTTCGTGCAAGTTAGAAAGAGATCTAATTTCAGTGCAAGTGAATCATTTACCACATAAATGATTCATTTACCTGGTAAGCAACAAATCTGACCATCACGCGAAGGAGAAACAATGGCAATTTGTTGCGGCGTCTTCGTTGCAGCTTTGCCACCACGCGACGAAGCAGATATCATCGTCGTTGCAGATCTCCATGCAGAGGAGAAACTATGTAGGGAAAAGTAGATCTGACCACCATGAGATGTTTGTCGTCATTTACATTCTCTAGCCCGTCGGAAATTAAAGAGGTGGCCGCCATTGTCGTTAGAGAAAACGACTAGCACGTCATAGAAGACGGACCGACCTCTGAACGAAGCCCATCAATGGGAGAGAGAGAGAGCGAGGGTCAAAGATGGAGAGAGAAAGCGGGGAATATTGTAGAGAGAGAGAGAGAGCACAAGAGCAAGAGAGGGAAGAGAGGGGGAGAGAGAGAGCGACAGTGAGGATGAGAGACGAAGCAACATAACGAGCACGGGATATACCCATGGCATGGGCATATTGCGTGCTCGTTACTATATCATGCTTAGCATAACAAGCTCATCGAGTTCTTAAATCTTTTTACAACTCTTTTTAATGTTGAAAATTGACTTTGTTATGACATAATTCTATTAACCGGAAGAAAAATCATTCAAATCAAAATGGAATTAATGAATGGTTGTGCATAACATTTACATATATTTTTTAAACACGTTTCATGTTTCACTTGACAAAAATAGCTTAATCAACAATTCAAAATGATTTTCCACTCATGCAACGCTTTTGAATTGCTCGTAATTGGTAAATTAATTTATAAAAGGGTCGTATTGTAGTTCTGGTGGCAAATACTAGGTAGGTGAAAATTTTTGTTTATTAATTTATTTATAAGATAAATTATACAGTTGCCTCCTGAACTATAAATCTTGTCACGAAATGCCTCTAAAAATTAGTAAGCCTTGCAAAACTTCCCCTTTTATTGAATTTTTACTTCCATTATTGTTGTTGGCTGCCATTTATAAATCTCTGAAAGTCCCTAGGTCATGCGAATTAAAGAGAAAGTTAGGTATAGTAATATATATATATATATATATGATAATTCATGTTGTGTAATTACATTTTTATGTGGTTGCACGAGAAAGAACTAACAGAGTAATTATTTACTAACCCATTCAAACGGTACTCATTATTTGTGTAATGCATGTTATTTATACTAAAAATCTTAGCATAACTCGAGAGACAATGGCTTAGTTTGGTATTGCTGTAGATTTTAGAAAAATTGCTTTTAGTTGTACTGGAAGAAAAAATAACTGTTACAAAAATCAGCTGAATGTTTGGTAAACTATAATTATAGTAGCTGTATTGGTTCTAAAATTAATATAATAGTGTTTGGTAAATTATGAGGTTGAATTACTGCGGATAGTTAAAAATTATGACTATATTATATTATACTATAATATAATGTATATAATTACAATATAATATATATTTATTATTATTAAAATAATAACTTAAATAATTAAAAATTACGATTATATTATATTATATATATATATATATGTAAGGTATCTAGTCAGGCACTTGTATAATTGTGCATGAATTATGTATATATATAGCTAAGTTGTGTATATTTATAGGTAAGTTGTGTAATAATTTTGCAATCGTGTATATTTACATATAAATTGTGTATGTTAAGTTATAAGAAACGACAATGTATATTAATCCTCAAAACATGTATTTTTTATAGCAATTAGTGAACACATAGCATAACAATATGTATATTGGCTGATTTGTTGTATTTCATGTTAAATATACACGACTTTATATGTAAATATACACGATTTAACTGTAAATATACACAATTCATGCATAATTATACAAGTGTCTGACTGATCAGGCACTTTTCAAGTACCTGACCGGAGACAATTCCTATATATATAATTACACTATAATGTATATTTATTATTATATTTAATATAATACAATAAAACTATTATTAAATAACATATTATATAATAATGATATAGAATATAATAATATTATCAAAATGGTTAATATAATTACAATATTATAAAACATATTATAATATTAAATAAATAATAATAATATTTCAGTTATCATATAATTAAAAATTACAACTATATTATATTATCTTAAATTATATTATAATATATAGTCATTATTATAGGCCCAGTCTCCAGTCCGGTACTGGACTGGAGTGGCACTTGTATATTTTTACTTTAAAATATGTATATTTTCTCTTTAAAGCGTGTATGTTTCCTCTTAAAACATGTATATATTATTTATTTTACCATAAAAAGAAATGTACATATTTCAAGTGAAAATATACACGTTTTAAAAAGGAAATATACATGTTTTAAAAAAAAATATACAAGTGTCGCTCTAGTCCGATACTGGACTGGAGACAATTCCCTTTATTAAATTATATTAAAGAAATATATTATAATTAATATATTATATAATCATAATGTGTGTAATACACTATAATAGATAATAATATTAGAATTATAAAATTATATTAATATTTAATTATATTAATTTTTATATTATTATCAATATAATAAATATAATTATATCGAGTTATTATTATATCATATTATATGATAAAATAATAATATTATAGTTATTAATATAATTATGATTTTATTTGTTACAATATTACTAGTATATTATATTATATTATTGTATTATTATATTATATCATACTATATTACGAGTTTGAATTTTAAATTAAAAATAATGTAAATTTTAAATTTCATTAGGGGTATTATGAAAGTTTTATTAATTGTAGTATGATGATTCACGCACAATCTAAAAACTAAAGTTGCATTTAGGTTGCTTCTAATTTTGGCGGTAGATTCTTTAAAAAATTTTCAAAAAACACTTTTAAAAAAATTTACTAAACACTAAAATCAGCTTTTACTACAAACAAAAGCTTATTTTAAAAGCGAAAAATAATACCAAACTAAGCTAATATCTAGTTCGAAGTCCACTGCCCTTGATAAGTCACAAAAATCATTAAGAACTCAATGGAATGACCTGTACGACACTTTCTGGGTTAGTTTGGAAGGCAGTTTAAGCAAATCATGCTTAAATAGATTTAAAATTGGGAAAAAAAAATAATAAGAAAGAAACAGAAAAAAATATTTTTTGACCTCTCTAGACTAGTTGTTGACTAACAACAATAGCTTTAGAATTAGCATTGATTTAAAATAATTTATCTATTTCATTTTTTTTTTTTTGGTACACACAAACAGAGACCCACATTCCTATAAAATAAAATAATAAAAAAAAAAACTCACATTCACAATTCCACGGGACAGATGGGCCAATGTGTGTGTGTGTGTTTTTTTTTTTTTTTATTCCACGTTAAAGTATTATAGTTATAGCTATTAAGGAGACGTTTAGTTCATGAGATTAGAATTATTTTTGATTTATATGTATTTTTTATGAGAAAAAATACTGTAAAAAATTATGAACCATGATTCGAATCGGGATACGAATCTCCCAATCAAACAATCCCAAATGCAACTCATTCACTACGTTGTATGAGCAGTATTCATAATAAATGGCGTACTCGTTCAAAAGAAAGGCAGCAAATTTGTCATTATTTAACGTAAGGAAAGCAGTTCTTTCCAGTAGCTATATATATATATATATATATAGCCAACACATCAATATTTAATTATTTGTTTGTTTTCCAAAATATTTCTTTATTTTATTTAATTTGCAACGTTACTTGTAAGGAATGCAATACCATTTTAAAGAAAGACTGCAAATTTGTCATGGTTCAGCATAAGAAAGGTATTCGTTCCCGGTAGCCATTATATATATAGTCACCCATAAATCAATTTCTACAAAACCAGCCTAATATTAGTCCATTACTGAATCTGGAGTGTACTAGAGAAAATGAAGAGCCATATTTCTAATTCAGCTGTGAGTTTTCTCATATTGCTTCTTCTTGCGACCAACTTGGTCGAAAGCTGCAAGCCTAGTGGCCGAATAAGAGGGAAAAAGCCTCCTCCAGGGGAATGCAACCAAGAGAATTACTCTGATTGCTGCAAAAAAGGCAAATTCTACAAAACTTACAAGTGCTCACCAAAGGTGACTGGACACACAAAAGCAGTCTTGACACTCAACAGCTTTGAGAAGGGTGGGGATGGTGCGGCCCCCTCGGAGTGCGACAACCAGTACCACTCCGACAACACCCCGGTGGTGGCTTTGTCGACCGGATGGTTTAGCAATACGCAAAGATGTCTCCAGAACATCACCATTTATGGTAATGGCCGGAGTGTCAATGCCATGGTTGTTGATGAGTGTGATTCAACTGCAGGGTGTGATGCTGATCATGATTATCAGCCCCCATGTCCTAATAACATCGTTGATGCTTCTAAAGCTGTTTGGAAGGCTTTGAAAGTGCCAAAGAGTGATTGGGGTGAACTTGATATTTACTGGTCTGAAGCTTAATATTGAAGAGTGTTTGTGTTATGCTTTGAAAGTCATATATAATAGTAAAAATATGTGTGTTATGATTTGAGGCTGGTGTATTGTTGATTCATTATACTTCCCTTTCCCTTTGCTGCTCTATCTCCATGGTTTTGATGTTTTTTAGCATCAATTAATACCGTTGATAATCATTTTCATTTAAAAAGAAGGGAAATATGAGAGTAATCACGAAGAAAAATTCTATTATTGAATGAGCACTAAACTCTACAGAACACATTGGTAACGTGAAAATGAACTCGGAGAACACTGTATCTAGCAGTATTTTGCGCACTTTCAATAATTTTTGGAATTTGATTCCTTAAACGTTTGACCTCCACAAATATAAAGTTTTTTTTTTTTTTCATTTTTTCATTTTTGTTTTTGAGTATCCGGAAATATAAAGTTAGAAACCAAAATTTTTACGCTATCTTGCATTTATCTCTTTAATTACTGTTTGACCAGCAGGAAGATGAGTTGGAAAACAAAAACGGTTCTTTCGGATTTTTATGATCCCACATTTATATTAGTGACCATAATTATTTATTTTAACAATTAAAATAAATAATTACTGCACAGTATTAACTTTAACAATTAAGACAAATATTTTGTGTAACTTATATCTATATGGTCACATAAAATATACGACACACAAATATATCAGTGTTGTATAGAAACGCGCCCGCCACTTAGTGCTACCAACACTATCAGTTGATTCCACATCTAGGACAAACAATTTGTGTGGATCTTAATATTCTTACAGTTTAGAATAATTATAAACTTTAGAAAAAATTCCATTAATTCTTTTTCTTGAAAATTTCTGGAAATGGGGCCAAATAGACCCTACATAATTGAAGCTCAAATAATTATAATTTAATTTGATCAAATTCTTTGGTTTATGAGGATATCATTATTCTTCATAACAAAATTATAGATTCCATATCGACTGTCATTCCCACCTATCCTTAATATCATGTCTAAAAAGTATGTGAGCATTCGATTTCCGTTAAAATATCTTCCATATGGTTTAACGATGATTTTTAACAATATGCAACCAGTACCACTCCGACAACACCCCGGTGGTGGCTTTGTCGACCGGATGGTTTGACAATATGCAAAGATGTCTCCAGAACATCACCATATATGGTAATGGCCGGAGTGTCAATGCCATGGTTGTTGATGAGTGTGATTTATTAGGATTTTAGGAATAATAGTTTTTCATAAACCTGAATACTTTTCCTTTGCTATTTGGTTATGCCAGCTGGCATATTCTGTTTTGTTTTCTGTTTTGCACTATCAGTCTTGGGATATGTGAGCTTTTCCATTTTAGCTTTATATTACCTTCCGTTGTAATCTTCTGCATATTATTGAGAATATGAAATTCTTCCTCAATCTTCTTTTCTAATATGGTATCAGAGCAATACCCTTCTGTTGCTCCTTCTTCTTCTTCTTCGTCTTCCTCCTTTTTCTGAGAATGGCTCGTGGAGGGCAGAACAACAACAACAACAACAACAATCGGTTTCAGCCACTCACTCCTCCCTCATCCTCTGCTATGGCATCTGTTCCAGATCCAGCTCCAATGGACAATATTCACAGTCCGTTTTTTCTTCACAGTGGCAACCATCCCGGTATGACCCTAGTTTCTCATGTTCTCACCGGCCCAAACTACAATACTTGGAGCCGTGCGATGCTTATGGCGCTCAATGCCAAAAACAAACTCAGTTTTGTTGATGGCACTCTTCGGCAGCCAAGCCCAGAAGCTCCTTCAGCCAATATTTGGTCTCGATGTAACAGTATGGTTACATCCTGGCTTCTTAATGCCGTCTCAAAGGAGATAGCAGATAGTCTCCTTTATCTAGATAGTGCCCACGCAGTCTGGTCAGATCTCCATGAAAGATTTCGTCAGAGTAATGCCCCACAAATTTTCCAGATCAAACAGCAGCTCTAAGGTTTATCTCAAGGTTCGATGGACATTAATACATACTATACTCAGCTGAAAATCCTTTGGGATGAACTTAAAAACTTTCAGCCAGTACCTGTTTGCCAATGTGGGGGGATGAAGGCTTGGATGGACTATCAACAATAGGAGTATGTCATGCAATTTTTGATAGGGCTCAGTGAATCCTATGCTGCGACCAGAGGTCAGAATCTGATGCTTGATCCATTGCCTCCTGTGACGAAGGTGTTTAATCTCGTTGTCCAAGAAGAAAGGCAACATTCCATTGGTCTAGGTTCTTCAGCTCCGGCAGATTCTTTGGCCTTCAACGTTTCTTCCTCTTCTCCGCCCCTACTGCCAACTCCGGTGACACATATGGCAGCTGCATCCCCCTCACAGCACAAACCTCGGCGAGATCGGCCCATCTGTTCACATTGTGGTCTCACAGGGCACTCAGTGGATCGGTGCTATAGGCTGCATGGGTTCCCACCGGGTTACAACCCAAGCCCAGGGCCCAAGCCCATCAGAACTCTCTTCAATCCACATTTCATCCCACCCCTGCCTCTGAGAACCCTAGGGTTCCTTTTTCTGCACCAACAGTCGCCCTTACAACTGCCTTTTCTCCACTGCCTCGCCAGCCACCTCTACTTGCCTTAATCACGTCTTCTGGGCAGCTCTTCTCTGATCAGATGCAGCAATTGATTACTTATCTCAGCTCGCAGCTTCACGCTCACGGTACTACCTCCTCTGAATCTCCTTTGTTCACAGTACCCTCCATTTCACACATCCATGGTAATTTTTCTACTACTCTCTCTATATCTCATCCGAATATTCCTTCCAATACTTGGGTAATTGCTACTGGTGCCACACATCACGTATGTAGTTCACTTTCGATGTTTACAAATTCCATACCAGTGCACAATAACACAACCATCACTCTTCCTAATGGTCACAACATTCACATCAATCGGGTCGGCACTGTTCGGTTATCCAATTATCTGGTCTTACATAATGTTCTTTTTGTTCCCCTGTTTTCCTTTAATCTTCTGAGCGTCAGTGCACTCACCATCAGCCATAACTGTTGTGTTAATTTCCTATCTCATTCGTGCATCATCCAGGACCTCACTCGGGGCTTGACGATTGGGAAGGGTAGACGCCACGACAACCTTTATTTTTTTGAACTAGGAACACCAGTTTGTAATTCCCTGTTTTCTTGTTCTGTGGTTTCCAAAACTGATGTATGGCATTATCACCTTGGACACCCCTCGCATGTTAAAATTCAGACTCTTCATAATGAATTACAAATTCCTGGCTCTCTTTCTCATTTATCTTCACACTGTCGTATCTGTCATTTGGCTAAGCAAAAACGGCTTCCATTTACTTCTCACAATAACATATCTGCAAAACCTTTTGATTTAGTTCACATTAACATTTGGGGCCCTTTTAATGTTGAAACACCTGCTGGTCACAAGTATTTTCTCACTATAGTCGATGATTGCACTCGTTCTACTTGGCTTTACCTTTTACGAGCTAAGTCTGATGTTCTCACTGTTTTTCCTGATTTTTACACTCTTATCCAAACTCAATATGGTTTCCCAATCAAGTCTGTTCGTTCTAACAATGCACCTGAGTTAGCCTTTATTGATTTTTTTCGTTCCAAAGGGATCATTCCGTACCATTCTTGCGTTGACACGCCGGAACAAAATTCGGTGGTTGAACGTAAACACCAGCACATCCTCAATGTGGCTCGTGCTTTACTTTTCCAATCTTGTGTTCCTCTTTGTTATTGGGGTGAATGTGTCTTAACAGCAGTTTTTTTAATTAATCGCATACCATCCCCCTTGTTATCCAAGAAAACCCCTTTTGAGCTTTTAAACAACAAAAAACCATCCTATGCTCATTTGAGGACTTTCGGTTGTCTTTGTTATGGTTCCACTCTTCCTAGTCAGCGCACAAAGTTCTCTTCATGTGCTCGCGCCTCAGTGTTTTTAGGCTACCCCTTTGGATACAAGGGTTACAAGCTGCTGGACTTAGAAAGTAACAAAACCTACATCACTAGGAATGTTACCTTTCATGAGACCATCTTCCCTTTTAATCAAACACAACCCGGCCATGTCCTCTATGACTTTTTCAGTGACCGTGTCCTGCCTACTCCTATTTCCAGTATACCACATTCACACCGTACTCAGGTTCCCTCCAGTCCACCCTCTCCATCTGGCCCCTCCACTCCCACTTCTACCGCCCATTTATCTCGTCCCCATCGTGTCTCTAAACCACCATCCTACCTGAAAGATTACCATTGTTCCTTGGCTGCCAATTCTTCCTCTGTTGTAAATGTCCCCTCTTCCGCCTCCACTTCCTATCCTATCTCTGCCTGCCTCAGTTACCACGGGTTATCTTCTCCCTATCGTCATTACATCTTGTCTATTTCCTCCCATACTAAGCCTCTGTCTTTTTCCCAAGCCTTTGAGATTCCGATATGGCGTGATGCCATGAACGTGGAGCTACAAGCCTTGGAAAGTAATGGGACCTGGTCCGTTGTTCCTCTTCCCCCTGGCAAACACTCTGTGAGCTGTAAGTGGTGTACAAAACTAAATTTCACGCGGATGGTACTGTGGAACGACATAAAGCTCGTCTGGTGGCCAAAGGGTTTACACAACAAGAAGGTATTGATTTCCTTGACACTTTTTCACCTGTGGCTAAGCTTGTTACTGTAAAAGTTTTACTCTCATTGGCTGCAATTTCGGGCTGGTCTCTCACTCAATTGGACGTCACCAATGCCTTCCTTCATGGTGACCTCACAGAGGAAATTTATATGGCTCTCCCTCCTGGATATCCTTGTCGACAGGGGGAGTATTTACCCTCTAATGCAGTTTGTCGCCTTCATAAATCCATATATGGGCTGCGACAGGCATCTAGGCAATGGTTTCACAAATTCTCCATTGTTTTGCTTGAGGAAGGCTTCACTCAATCTACTTGTGATCACTCTCTATTCATTAAGTCACATGGACAGACCTTTATGGCACTTTTGGTGTATGTAGATGACATT